ATTGCAAGCAAGCACTCCTTCACTTTGTCCTCTGTAACATAACGGACACATATGGCCAGCTGTTCAGTATTGCCATCTCTGGCTTCATCTGCCATAAGTGAAAACATCCCTGCATCTTTTATCTCCCTGACAATATTTGCTGTAACCTCTTCAGCACAGCATGCAATTATCTCATTTTGAGATGCAGGTGATAAGTAAGTGCTATGTGAAGGAGCTGAATAGGATTGCAAAAAAGGATCAAACTGTTTTAGCAGTTTCATACACTCCAAAAAATTCCCCTGGTTGTGGCTATTCCCTGTTTCATCATGTCCACGGAAGGGAATATTTTGCTTGGCCAGGAACTGTGTCATAGCCACAACACGAGAGAGGTACTCTCGTCTGTCTTTTATTTCTCCCTCATTTGCTGTGTGCAACTGTTCAATGACACTGCCATGTGCAGCACTGTCTTTAGAACTGTGCCAGCAAAGCATGCTTGCTTTATGGGCAGGTGTTTTTTCATGCTCTCTAAAGAGATCTAATGCTTTTTTTCCCAGTTTGTTAGTCCAGTGCTAACAAATGTGTCGTGTTTCAGGTTTCTACCGAACAGTCTGCATGCAAAACAAAAAGCTGCATCTCGAGACACAGAATATTCGAGCCAGGAAAAGCTTCCATACCAGCTTGAATTAAAAGATCTCCTTTTCAATCCAATGCTATGTTGTGGAAACTGGGACAGTTTTATCTGACATGGACCACAATGCTTTTCACCCAGATCGTTTCCCAATACCTCCAGATTGTGTCAACTGTTTTTTGCATGTGTCCCGTATCTTATGTCCTCTGCTGCTGCTACTCTGTTCAACTGTCCCTCAGATTCTTCTCCATGCTGCTCCATGTCCCTCTCACTTTGCACCGCCTCCGACTTTTTATCCAGCTGCATCTCTCCTCCTCCACCTGTGTTATGTCCCTCTTTCTCTGCAGCAACATCAGAAATAACCTCAGCAAATTCACAAAATCACTCATGATTTTCTGCTAACCAGACCTACAAGTCCGTTAGCTATAGCTCATTTGTCAACATTTGTCTTACCTCCCTCAAACTCATCTCTCCTTTCTGCTTCCCTCTCTTTGCCTCGAAAAAACAGAAATTTTCTGATATCCATCTACAGGAGGAATTAATCATTGTTCAGATAGTACAGCTATCACTCATGGAAACTTTACTTTCACAGCGTTTTCATACATTATCTTACCTGCTCGTCGCGCGACGTACGCCAATTGAAACGTGCGCGCGGTTGGTATACACGGGCATGCCGCGCGGAAAAATAGTTTCCACGCGCAGCTGCAGCATCGTTTTTGCAGCGTTATTGCAGCACGTTTTTGTTTTTATTGTGTTTATTTTACATGCGTCAATTGGTTTATTGACTCTTGCATTTAGTTTCTCTGAAGAATGGTCTAATAATAACCCTTACAAATATGGGAATGTATTTACTGGGGCACAGCTGATTTACACTGGGGTACGTGCCCCAGTAAAAGTGGTCTAGCGACGCCCCTGTTATAAAGTAACTAGAGTCTATAAGACTCAAATCTTACAAAAGAAATAAGATTAAACATATTAAGTAGTGAGTTTTTGTGGTTCTGGTTGGCAGATTTTATTCTACCTGTAGACAGAACCATGGCCACGCTTTCCGCCTGTTCCCAGAGCCCTGACCTCAACACCATCCAACACTTTTAGAATGAACTGAAATGCTGACTGTGACCCATCACCCATCATCAGTGCTGGTGACCTCACAAGTGCTTTTAGGTCATGATGGTAACAGTGATCATGCTCAGTGTGAAGATAATGTGACTGATTGTTTTAGATTTATAAACAGTCTGCATAGCAAGCATCTACTGTCAGTGGTTTTACTGCATGAAATGAGTGAATTATTTTAAATAGGTGTGATTCTTAAGGCCCTTTCACACCACACGCGAATTCAATAATATTTTTCAAACCAATAACTTGTCAATAATACATTGCACACCGCCGACGTAATTTCACGACGCGAAAAGCGACACTAATTTTTTTCGCCTCCGGGTCGATTTTTCCAACTCGTCGCTGCGACGGCAGCACCTCTGACCAATCACAATGCAGCTTGTTGACACGTCAAATTCAACATGGCGGACCGCTTAATCCAATTTGTTTCAGCGAATTCCGTTATCTATGATAAAAAGGACAAAAACTACAAAGATAATGAATACAAAGATAACGTATGGAGACGGATAGCAGAGGATCTTCACTTGCTTGTGAACTAAACTGATTTCATTACCGTCGCTTGATGTGGAGTCCATCTTTGTAGCGCGACGTTTTAAGAAAATATCGCTTATTCGCGTCGCGTTCGGTGTGAAAAGGCCTTTAGAATGAATTTTTCAATATAGGATGGACCCAAAACCTTCTTTGTTTTTTTTATGTAGCAGGACAAGCAATACATCGTCGTCGCTTGATGTGGAGTCCATCTTTGTAGCGCGACGTTTTAAGAAAATATCGCTTATTCGCGTCGCGTTCGGTGTGAAAAGGCCTTTCAAAGAACAATAAGCAGTTGTCTCTAGACTCTCTAGCACTTTACAGTCCAGTGTGAATAATGAGCAACTATCTTCATGAGGACAGCAGACTTGACAACAGCAGTCTCTTCATTCAGCTCACATTTCATGTCTTGACATCCTAGTACAGGTTGTGCAGGTACATAATTAAATCCAAACATCAGGACAGTGTAAAAGTTTCTCTATATAGCCAATTTTGAATTCAAAATGACTGTTATCACTGCGACTGTCATTGTCACTGTTACTAAAATATTAATGACAATCTGCTTCTTTGTTTAACCAATCTATTACACCGTAGGTTGTCAACGTGTAGGCTTATTTCCACCTAAAAAGTCACAGCACTCTCTGCTGCACAGACGTGATATGCACGTAATTGTTTTACAGCCTAGGCCGTAATAATCGAGTGCGGAAAAACAGACAGAATTGTTAATGAATATGAAAGATAATTTAAGCACTGACAATACATTAATTACAGTTACTGCTAAAATATGAGGGTTTTTAATCACTTTATGTACAGTAAGTACAGAACAAAGAACAAAATCCTCTTTTATCAATTATTCTGACCACATTACTCCTGAAACACAGTTGGTGCCTTCATGAGCTATCGGGAAATATTAATTATAGAATTTTCTTGGATCATTTGAAATGTGGTTATAGATGACTGACAATCAACATTGCAGTAGCCAGCGTTTCATAGAGTAATATGTTCTGAATAAATCAAATGTTGTTTGTGAGCATTTATAATCCCTTCAGGGCCACTGAATCCTCTCACACCGAGTCCACAGGCGATATGGGAAATGGGAAATTACGGGGCGCATCAGAAGACAGCAGGGGAGGCAAGCAAGACGACGGGGCCTAGACAAGTTCTGCTATATTTCTACACTTTGTGGACAAAAGTTCACGATGCATTCACAACCTCCACCGAAGCCATGGGAAAGACGGATTCCAGGAGTAGTGAGTGCACCTGTAAATTACAGGTAAACGCGCTTTATTCATGTTAGCTATCTCGACGTAGTTGCTAGCTAGCTAGCTAATGCTAAAGCTGTTGCATGTCAGTGAGATTAAGGCAGGGATTATAATTACAATACAATACAATTTACCTAATGTATGTTTGCTTTTTAATGAACTATTTATTAAGTGTCAATCCAACAACGAAACAGCTATATAAATAGTTCACTTACTAGCTAGACCCAACAAGGGCCTGTCATGTGCCGTTTTCTGGTGCACGGAGAGTGTTTATTGCCAGTCTCCACCTATAGCCTAATTACTCTACCCGTTAGTGAATGTAAACAACACTAATACTGTTAGTACTAGTTTACTAAACTAAATCTAGCAACAGTAATTAATTATCATTTTGGGTATTTTTAACTATAAATGTAATACATTCCGAGAAAAGTGGCATTTAATTCTCATATCTCCATAATCTTTGCTGTGTATTGTTAAATACAGGATTGTTTTGGAGATCCCAGTGTTGATAGAGCGTCATTAACCTAATGCCTGCTGTACCTTTAGTCAAACATTAGGCCCTTGGCTAAGTGAAATCTCATGTATGTCCTCTAATTTAAAAATGCATAGTAATATGTTCACACATATTCAGAAACAGCTTTATAGGCCAGGTTTGTAGAACACTCAATGTTCATTGCAAACTTAAATTTTTCTGTTTTAACTTAACCTTTTCATTTAAACAGACATGCAGATTTTGCACCAACTCCAGGTTCCTCCACTACTGCCAGTCCTCCTGTCTTGACCAGGATGGCACCCCCAGTGCCTCCCCGTCCTGTCCATCAATCCTACCGTCCCTCCTACAACTCTTTCACTTCCTCTTTTGGGCCCTATGGGAACTCTTTCTATGGTGGCTACAGCCCCTATAGTTATGGCGGCTATGGCCTGGGGCGGTACAACAGCGTCTCCCACCTTGAAGATGTGGCCCCCAGTAGGTTTGTGCAGCAGGCAGAGGAAAACAGCCATGGCGCCTTCCAGTCCATTGAGAGCATCGTCCAGGCCTTTGCCTCAGTTAGCATGATGCTGGATGCCACCTTCTCTGCTGTGTATAACAGTTTTCGTGCTGTGCTGGATGTAGCTAACCACTTAACACGGCTGCGTGCACACCTCACTCGAGTCTTCTCAGCCTTTGCTCTGGTACGCACTTTGCGCTACCTCTACCAACGGTTACAGAGGCTGTTGGGGCAGAGGTCAAATGCCGAGGTTGAAGACTTATGGGCAGACAGTGCTAGTGATGCTCTAGCTACTAGTGCATCCAGAGGGTATGGAGCAGGGGTGGAGTATCCAACTAGCAAGTCCTGGCCAATCTTTCTGTTTTTTGCTGTAGTTTTGGGTGGACCCTACTTCATTTGGAAACTGCTAAACTCCAGCACAGACTCGGGAGAAAATGGTGAGATTTTCATTTAAGACTATGTACTTGCAGAATGTGAACTACCACTGTGAACCAGAACCCAAGGCTTTTCCAGCTAGTAACCAGAACCCAAGGCTTTTCCAGCTAGTCACAATGACTACTGGCTTTACTAAGTACTTAAGATGAAAAATTGCACCATCTTGTAGTCACAAGACAGTGGCAGACAATTAAAAAAAAAAAAAACTTGTATCTACATAGCAGCAAGTAGTGGCACATGTTTTGATTGATTAAAAGCAGAAATATTCCACCAGAGAAGCCAATGAATGTCACAGAATTTGTGTTTGGAGCCTTTTACTCTCAAATATAACGAGTAAAGATTTTTTCTGTTTTCTCTTTTTGTTTTATCTAGCCACTAACTGGGCAAATGGAGAGGATGACCATGTAGTGGCCAGAGCAGAGTATGACTTTACAGCTGCATCCGAGGAGGAGATTTCTCTGCGTGCTGGGGACATGCTCAACCTCGCCCCTAAAGGTGAGACTTCTTGTATGACTGCTGGTCTTTTTTTCTTTCCTCCTGTTTCTCTCATCCAAAAGTGGTTTAACATTTCTGGTTGTGATAGGCCTTTGTGTTCAGTGCTGAAGATCAATAAACACATTATACAGTAATACTGGATTTTAGAATCACTGTGATGGAGTTTCTTGATTTGGTGTTTCATGTGATAATTTTATCTATAAACATTTTGAGTTGACTTACCAAAAAGTTTCGTATAATACTCTTTTCATTTATTGTGTTTGGTGCTAATGTGAAAGTAATGTTGTGGGGATTATTTCCTTAACTTTATGATTGTACTGCATATAGTTTTAGGTGTAAATTACTACAATATTTTTGGTATGGACTAGAAAGAGTCATTGTTGCAAGGTGTCAAACATTACAAGTAGGGCTGCGAGATATCGGGGAAAACACTGACATTGCAATGTTTTTTCTTTTTAATCATAAATTAGGATCTCACTCTTTTCAAGAAATCATTTTCTCTATCTTGCCTTCATCAGTGTCATTGTATAACTGCTTCTTTAAACTTTGCACACAGGTGAAACCTCTTGAGTTACTTAGCCTACATCTGGTTGAGCAGTCATGGATGAAATTACCTGAGCTCTTAGAACACAGGTAAAAAGGTGAAATGAATGCCAGTCGTGGTAAGACAGAATACATGTGTATGAACAAGAGGGAGGGAAGTGGAACAGTGAGGTTACAGGGGGCTGAAGTCAAGAAGGTGCAGGAGTTCAAGTATTTGGGGTCAACAGTCCAGTGCGATGGGGAGTGTAGGAAAGAGGTGAAGAGGCGAGTGCAGGCAGGTTGGAGTGGGTGGAGAAAGGTGTCGGGAGTGTTGTGTGACAGAAGAGTGGCAGCAAGAATCAAAGGAAAGGTGTACAAGACAGTAGTGAGACCAGCTATGCTGTATGGGCTAGAGACTGTAGCAGTGAGGAAAAGACAAGAGGCAGACATGGAGGTAGCAGAGATGAGGATGTTGAGGTTCTCTTTAGGAGGGACCAGGATGGACAGGATTAGGAATGAGCACATCAGAGGGACAGCTGAGGTTGGCTATTTTGGGGACAGGGTCAGAGAGGCCAGATTGAGATGGTTTGGACATGTACAGAGGAGGGATAGTGGTTATATTGGTAGAAGGATGTTGGAGATGGAGCTGCCAGGCAAGAGGTCAAGAGGAAAGCCAAAGAGAAGATATATGGATGTGCTAAAAGAGGACATGAAGTTAATTGGTGTGAGTAGAGGATGCTATGGGTAGAGTTAGGTGGAAACAGATGATTCACTGTGGTGACCCCTAACGGGAACAACTGAAAGAAAAAGAAGAAGATATTCAAATCCATGTAAAAGCAAACAGTGGGCTTTCCAATTTAACTGCATCATCAAAAAAAGCAGAGATGTCATACATTAACAAGATACTGTATAATCAGCGTTTTCACACACGAACTCCGGACTATATTCCACAGAATTACACTCCAACTTTGTCCTGAGTTGACCTTCACACATGGAGCACACAGCAGGAAGGAGTCTGTGTCGGGCGCATTCTCACCTACTGGAAATACTCTGTTTGGTTCATGTGCATGGGGTGCATGCCTGGGTAGAGCGCACAGGAGATGGGGCATGACACGGTCACATAGCTGGTTTGTAATTTGGTCATAAACTGTTTCATTTGCTTTGTCTGATAATTCTGCCTTCAGTTCTTAACAACAGAGGTTCCTGATATTTAGATATTTTTGTTGGTGTCTTCATTGTAAATGAACCTTTTTCTTTACTATCAGATGTTTGTATTCCTCCAGTTTTGCACCGGTCACATGATAGAATGTCATCAACACACCCACTAGCTCCGTGGTAATACTCCATACTATACGCTGCTGTATTATCACATGGGTTCACTCCAGCTCACTTGGACATTACGTGGACTTTGTACTACGGAGTTGCCAGAGAGAAATATACTTAAGGTCCGAGTTGACTGACTCGGATGTTTGTGTTCTCATATACAGCTACCCCAGGTAATGTTTGGTTAATTTCAGGGTTCCAGTGCATGTCTGAAAAGCGCTATATATTTGAGTTCAGGCGGGTACCACACCTTCAGGTGGTTGTGGACTGCTGACTATGTTCCACTGGGGTTGGCCCTCCTGTGTCTGGCCATGCGTTTGTGCAGTGGCTGAAGGTCAAAGGACATTCTTTTGAGGACAATGAAGTCCAGATCCTCTTCAGAGAAACTCACTGGTTTGAGAGAGGAAGGGACATTGTTGGCTGTCGAAGAACTGAAACACCACCCAGGGGGATAAATAACTCCTGCTCACCACCAATCGGACAGAACTGATGAAGCCTCTTGAATGAGAGGTGAAACGTCTTCTACCTAAAACCAAGTTCCTTTGAACTTTTTCAAGGCCAACACATTTGAGATCTTCAATTTTTTGTCCAGCTGTGTATTATTCCAGTTGTAGCAGCTGTGTTTCAGCTTGTGCCTTGCATTTCTCATACAATTCTGAAATGGCCATGAGAAATAGTGGTGCGTGATGGTATTGCCGTACATGCCACTAGTCAGTCTTAACTTCGGAGTAAATTATCTCAAATAGACTTCACTTGTAGATTATTTTTGTGGAAGATGACAATTATGCGAGTTTTCTTTCTGTATCAAAACTTTTTTAGGATGCCATGTTTGAGTTAATTTGCCTTGCTTGACTTCACACATCTTGTGATGTGCACACATCACTGACTGCGGTGAAATGATATTGTAGCCCTAATTATAAGTATTTTGTCCTGTCCAAATGGTAAGTGTTGAGTGTATATCGCAAAGATGGTTAAGCTGTTAAAGTTGGTCTTTCGAGTGAGTAATTCATCACACTGTCAGTAGTGGAGGAGGAAGGTCACAATAGGCTAGTCTTTTTTGCAAAGAGGAGATTTTAAGCAGCAAAAAGTCAGTAGTCCTTTTGATTTACTTACTTAAAAGTGACCAGAAGTTCACTCTGGTCACTGTGCACCAGGGCAACCAGGCACAGGGACAGTTTCTTCCCCCAGGACATCGCTCTGATGAACACTTAACCAACGACACTGTGTCTGGACAGTAAGCCTCAGCACAACACCTGTAAATATACATTGTACAGATTATACATATTCGTACAGGTGTCAAGTTTTAAGTACTCTGTTTTTATTCTTATTTCATTTCAGTGAGCATTCCTTTGCGTTGTTTGTGCCTGCCTGTCTATACTGCTTATTTTGCATTGTATGCACTGTTTGTTGCTTATTTTGGAGACGATATAAACATACAACTTTTATTTTGTTGTATTACACAGCCTTATGTTGGTTTACTGTTTACTTGACCCTTGCCCAGGTCTCTATTTTTAAGTACACTATTTTTATTCCTTTATTCCTATTATCTCATCTCAATGAGCATTCCTTTGTCTACATTGTTTACTGCCTGTTTATACTGCTTATTTTGTTATATTACACAGCCTTATGCTGTTTACTTGCCCCTTGCATGGGGATATGTACATACACATTGAGAGCCGGTGTACCAGAGTCAAATTCCTCATGTGTCCGACACACCTGGCCAATAAAGCAGATTCTGATTCTGAAGTTCTTCCATTTTGATGAGCTCACATTATGCCTTTTTTTTTATTTTTTATTATTCTCTGCTGTGTTTAGAGCAACAGCCCAGGATGCGTGGCTGGCTGCTGGCCAGCTTGGATGGTCAGACCACAGGGCTTGTCCCAGCCAACTACGTCAAGGTCCTTGGCAAAAGGAGAGGTCAGAAGCATGCAGAGATTGGGAGGGTTGCTCAGGTCCAGCAAGGGAGCACAGAGGAGTATCAGACAGCCTTGGCTGCACAACCACAGCCTCATCCTGCCCAAGACTTTACCCCAGGCCTTGGTTCAGCCCCCACCTCCGATTCAGCAGAGATGCTAGAATCGGTGTACAGAGAAATCCCAGCTTCCTTCAGCCTGAGAGCCTCCAACTCCACTATGCCTTCTAGTGTGGTGCTAAGCATCCCTGAGAAGACTGACCTGTGATGTTTCTGTATGCACATCTGTGTAATAGCGGTTGGTTCAGTCACCACTTGTTTGCAGTGTTTAACTCTGAAGCTTGATTAAATCAGCTGACAGTAAATTTTTGAGGAAATGCCATGGACCTTATAAAGAATAATTCAGAGTAGTTCCTAGGTTCATCTAAACAAATCATATTGTCTTTCATGCAAGGTTACTGGTGAAAAATGCTTTCCATCCCCAAGTTCCCTGTTGTACTGTCTTGTTTAGAACCACTGTGTCTCAAATTAGGAGGCTATCTTTACATGTCCTTTAGCCAGATCGTGTATAAGAAATACTTTTTTTGGATGATCTAAATATGGTATATTACTGTGCTTAACATGTCTGACACAAGAAGTAACATCTGGAGATAGTTCAGTTACAGAACTCAGTCCAGTGTTTAAGTTATGTAAGTAAATGCACTGGCATATCATCTGTATGATAGTGTAAGGACAAAGCCAAGATATTCAGTTTGATACTGCAATGTAACCTTGTGTTTAGTTTAGGCCCTCATTTGTAGGTTACTTGTTCCTCTCTATTTCCATCTTTATTGAGCAAATGGGAATGGAATAATTCAGAATAAGAAGGGGCTAATTTTGCACATTTTGTAAATATTTAGTATAATTATTTTGGTGAATAAATGTTTAAGAAAAATTGTCCACTTTGTGATTGAGTGAGTAGAAGTAGCATTTTACAAATTGTGTGGATGCTGTGAAGCATCCCTTAACTACTTTGGTTCTATACCGGAAACATATTCCTTGTCTGTAACATACTTGGCCAATAAAGGTGATTATCCTTATCCTGACTCAGCATCCACACAATAATAAAGACCAGGATAACATGGTGTGAGGAATTTGCTTCCGGTACAGAACCGAGGAAGCCATCTGTAGTGCCAACTCAACCGATGGCTCCAACCATCAAGGGCAACTTGAGGGTTCAGTGTCTTGCCCAAGGACACTTCGACATGTGGGCTGCAGGCACTGAGATTCGAACCTCTAACCCTCAGGCTGGGAGACAACTCTACCCACTGAACACTATTGTTATACTGTTCTTGTGTGGATGCTGAGTAAGCATCCACACTATTGTTTTCCCGTCTTTATTATTCTCATTCTTCTGTATGTTTTTTGTCATTCAGAGAGCATACTTTCAGCTAGAAAAGCCATTCAGGTAACAAAATGTTTAGCTCTTCAAGGACATTGTGGCATCTATTCAAAATTTTTACACACACAAACAGCAACAGAATAACACACACAAAATAAAACCCAAACATATACAATCAAAGCAAAACAGTGAGGCACAGTGGCAAAGTGACACACACACACACACACACACAGAGAGGTTGGTCTGCCTTCAAAATAAGAGCCCTACAATATTCAGAAACATTCAATGTAAATCGTTTTACAACTGAATGTCCAGCTCCTTTCAAAGCTCAGAGCTTTGCTCCTTGTTACCGTCAGATAGTGTGTCCTGTCCTAGCAGGACACATCACACAGCACCATCAGTCAGACCAGCACACGCTGGAATGTGCTTATGGTGGAAAGGTGTTGTCAGGATGTTACAATGTCACTCTGAAGGATAGTGCATATTGAATATAAGGGCCTCAGATTATAAATAGGTGTAACTTGAGTGTTCTGTAGGATGTCAGATTTCCAAAATAAAAGCCCCTGACTACAGATTGAGTTCACATGAAGGACCCAAAATGTGCCTGACTTTCAAAAGAAAAGCCCCTGATTACAAATTAGGCACACATGAAGACACCAAAATGTGCTTGATTTTCAAAATAAAAGCTTGTTTACAAAATAATCTCACATGAAAGCCCCCAAATGTTCCTGACTTTCAAAATAAAAGCTTCTGATTACAAATTAAGCTCACATGAAGTTCACAGAATTTTTCTAAACTTCATATGTTTAAAATATTTAGTTTTAGTCTGAAAATTTATTCCCATTCAAATGAATGGGAAAATTCTCCTTAAGCATACTTTCAGCTATTTCAAGTATCACAGTGTTCAGCTCATCAAGGCTATTCATGCTTCTATTCAGAATTTTTCTAAACTTCATACTTTTTAAAAGATTTAGCTTTATTCTGAAAAATTTGACCCATTCAAATGAATGGGAAAATTTTACTTCAGCATCCTTTCAGATATCAAAATATTCAGCTCTTCAAAGACATTCATGCTTCTATTCAGAATTTTTTTTTCTTGACTTAATAGTTTTATTTTGAAAATGTTGCCTCTTTCAAATGAATACACACACACCTACTTGTTTTTCCTACTACATGGGGACTGCTCACACACACACACACACACACACACGTGTTTGTTTTCCATACTTTGTGAGGCCTGTTGACACAACTTCAGCGTTTGATTTCATCTTACATTAATTATTGAACTTTTTCTTTTTGTTTTTCATAATTCAACATTTTTTCAACTTCCACAGTTGCTCAGCATTGCATCTCATCCTTTAGCTATTTAAGCAAAGTACTTTTCTTCTCATCCTTCAACTATTTCAAATAAGAACTTCAGCCATTTCTTCTTATCCTTCAGCTGTTTCAGCAATTGATTTCAGGCATTTCAGCATTTTGAGGGTGATACTTCAGCATTACAGCATCCACACGCATTTTCAACAGGAAATGCATTTCTCTAGTTAAACTTGGTTTAATTAGCAATTACGGGATTTTAACATTAGTAAGAGCAAACCTAAACGCCAAGCTTATGCATTTTAGTTTATTTTTTATCTCATTATAAATATTAATAGAAATATTGATTTACTTTTCGTGTGACTTGTGTCTTAAGATTTCTAGCAGAAACTGTGGGTTTACGGCACGGCCGCTGTCTCTAGGTAACAGAATACTTAACCTGCTGCAGTGCGACAACTGGGACAAGTCAGCGCTGCAGGTAACGGTCAAAATGCCTTTATTTGTCTAAATTTCACTTTAAGTATTTACAGCAGAGAATGTGTTTTGACAGCGTAGCCTGTCGATAACGTTTCTGTGTTACTGGTCTTAGAAATATTCAACCTTCTACGTCAAGTAATTATTTACTTTGCGATACATATGCTACCTTCTTACCCTATCGGAAATAGTGTAGTTGTGCATGGATTTGAGTATGTTCGACAGAAGATTTTTAGGTCGACTTTTTTCTTAAATGTAAAGAATTGTCCGCGTAGCTAGCTCACTCAAAAGACGTGCAGTAATTGGCACATTAAATAAAAGTATGTTTATGAAGGTGCATACTTTGCAAATTATTCCGACATTGCAACCTAAAGTAACTCGCTTACTTTGGAAAAATACATCTGCACGCACCAACTGAACATTACTCCGCGACGCCTCGTGTGGATCTTGTGTTAAGAACTTTACGAGGGGTGCTTGAAGGCAACACCCTGTCCTGCAAGCTAGTATTAGCAAAGGATGCAGTTAGCCGGTAGAAGACCACAGCATCGGCGTTAGCTGTGCATAATGGCATAAAACACTTGGCCGCTGAGTGTATTACATGAGACGACAGCAGAAATCTCTCTGAAATCAGATAAGTATGTTAACCTTATTTAACTGTGTTCACTGTTTGAACTATGTAGAGAACCAGCTCATTTAATTTGACCTAAAAGCATCTGATGCAGGAGGAGGACTGGGCGACTCGGCCTGCTCTAACAGCAGGACAATTACTCTGACTTTCTCCAACTGTAATACTTGAATTAATATTATATACTGTATCGGCAAGTGTATAGAAAAGTGGGAAAATCCTCGAAGTCATCGTAGGCTGTGTTGTACCCGGTACTTTTTACCATACTGACTCTGAGAGACAAGACAGTCCAAGTAACTTCAAAACAGTGCTGATTTATTCAAAGGATCACAGGTAAAATTAACATTACACGCTCAGGTATCTTGCACCTCCAAACTGCTCTCAGACAGATGTAAGATGAAAGACCCTGAACCCACCAGGCCTATACATTATATCACCTC